ACACTTGCTATTCACCCCGACCTCCTCTCTTTCTATCGGCTTATCTGACTCGGGCCTCCAATCCGGATCACCTTATGGTCCCGTAGATCTGATCCTGATCTTGCTGGTTGACCGATTTAACTCGGTTCCAGTCCCAGTGACCGTTTCATTCCAGACGCTATTTCTCAAGGCCCTGGAAGCACGTACACTGCCGCCTCATCGAGCAGAGCGCCTAGAATGTGATTCCCATGCTTGCAGAGATCAGACATTCCTTTCATGGGTCGTCCGCTTGATTAAACTCATGTTATTGGAGCAAACTGTGGACGCCTATCTCTGCTCACATGCGGCATCTCAAGTGGATTTCTTGTACATTTTGGCCATAACGCCGAATTTCCGTGACGGTTTGCTTAACCGTCCGCCCAGCTTCTTGACTGCCCGGCCCCCAAAGTTGTACTGGTTTATTCGAAATGGACATCACTCACTGACGTCTTCGCTTTATTGCCGACACTCCCCGTGCCCCACTTGCCTCATCGCGATCTCTTTTCCTCCATTTAGCGTCTCCTTTTTGCTGGTTATTACAAATTTCAGAAACTCTTCCAGTTTTTCTCGTCCATGTTGCCAAAGTGCAAAGTAACCATCCAGGCAATGTATGAGCAATGCTGGTTGTAGTGGTGCAATCTTGAAGTTCTCTTCTATTTTGTTCTTTTATACTTCCGCCAAAAGTGGCGAGAGCGGCGATCCCATGGGAAGTCAAAATATTTATTCATAGAAGGTTCCGTTGAATGTAAAATTGGTTGTCCTCGTCGTCAAGTTGATTAGTCTTGTTAATGACTCGCTCCTGATCCGTTGTGATTCCAGGATATTCTCCGCTCCTTCCAGAATTTCCAACAGCGCCGTTACCGCATTTGCTCCAGACATATTTGTATACACGGATTCCACATCGGAGCTTACCCCATTGACATTGTTGGAGAGGAAAATCTAATGAACAGGAGATTGGAAGAGGGTAGAGTTAGTGATAACTTTGCAAACTGCCTAAGCAAACTCGAATAAAACAAAAATAGAGCAAGACCAGCAAAAAGGAGACGCCTGGATCAAGGATCTACCCCCAACCGGAGGAAAAGAGATCGCGATGAAGAAGGTGGGGGACCGAGAGTGTCTACAATCAAGCGAAGAAGTTGTCAGTGAGTGATGTCCGTTTCGAATAAACCAGTACAACTTTTGGGACCTGGCAGTTAGGGAGCTTGGCAACGGATAAGCAAATCGTCACGGAAATTCGCTATTATAATCAAAATATAATAAAAATCCACTTTAGATGCCACGTGCAACCAGAGATAGGCGTCCACAGTTTGCTCAGATAGCATGAGTTTAAGCAAGGAGACGATTCTTGAAGGGAAGGCATAATCTCTGTAATCATGGAAATCAGAGCTTAGGGGCTCTGTTTGGTGAGGCAGCTTCAAAGACCTTGAGAAATAGTGCTTGAGTGAAACGCTCGGTGCGACTGGAACCGAGTGAAATAGGTCAACCAGAAAGATCAGGATCGGATCTACGGGACCATGACGGAATCCGGATTGGAGGCCAGAGTCGAAATAGCCGATCGAAAGGGAGAAGATCAGGTTGTGATGAGGCCACACTAGATTTACCAAAAAATTGTCAAACATTTTGACGAGTGGAATGTAAACAAGTAAGAAGTTGTGATGTGGCAGGAGTTGGATAAGAGGGTAAAGAGTAGATAGATAGGCCAGTACAGAAAGAGGAGGGATAGTGTAACCGTTTTCGGCAAAAAGTTTGTTGAAGGATTAATTTCACTTGTCTCTTTGACGAGTTCGTCGCTTGGTGCGAAGAATGGCAAAACTCAT